CCTAACCTTTGGCTGAGTCTCCTGGTAGTTTATCAAGTTGAACAACAACATTCTCATCGGATGGAGCAATTGTTAATCTTTAAATGACATCTGTACTTGTTACACATCTACAGTTTCAAATGCAAGTCACTGGTTAGATTTAAAGTAGTGTATTGTGCCCATTTCTGGGCAGCACTCATTAGGAGGGCTTGAATAAGTGCAGTGCAGCTTCATAAGGATCAGACCAGAGAAGCTGAGATTGGTTTGCAGAAAACAGAGAAAATTTAAAAGAGGTGCTCAATGGTTTGAGGGCTTTTAATAGAATAGTCAGAAAGATTCTGTTTCCACCAGCAGAAGGGCCTGTAATTAAAAGACACACTTCAATAACTGGCAAAAAAGCTAGAGGTGATGAGTAGAATTTATTTTACTTGGCGTGCTGTTATGATCTGGAATTTGTTGCTTGAAAGCAAGATAAAATTTGACTCAATAAGCAATTTTCAAAAGGGAACTGGATGTCTACTTATAAAGAGAGAGATAAAAGATGCACGGCGATGAAAAAAAGAACAGGAGAGTGAGTCTATTTGGACAGCTGTGTCAGAGTGTTAGCTCAATAACAACAGGTTTAAAGGTCATAGAATTACACAGCGCAGAAACAGACCCTTTGGTCCAACTCGTCCGTGCCGACCAGATATCCTAAACTGATCTAGTCCCATTTGCCAGCATTTGGCCCATATCCCTCTAAACTCTTCCTATTCATGCACTCATCCAGATGCCTTTTAAATGGTGTAACTGTATCAGCCTCCACCACTTCCTCCGGCAGCTTGTTTGATAGATCCACCACCCTCTGTGTGAAAAAGTTGCCCCTTAGGTCCCTTTTATATCTTTCGCCTCTCATTTTAAATCTACACCCTCTAGTTTTGGACTGGCCTACCCTATTTTGTTTCACCCTATCTATGCCTCTTGTGATTTTATAAGCTCTAAAATGTCACCCCTCAGCCTCCTACACGCCAGAGAAAATAGCTCCAGCCTATTCAGCCTCTCCCTATAGCTCAAACACGCCAACCCTGGCAACATCCTTGTATATCTTTTCTGAACCCTTTCAAGTTTCACAACATCCTTCCTGTAGTAGGGAGACCAGAATTGAGTGCAGTATTCTAAAAGTGGCCTAACCAATGTCCTGTGCCGCTGCTACATGACTTCCCAACCCCTATACTTCAATGCACTAACCAATGAAGGCAAGCATGCTAAATGCCTTCTTCACCATTCTGTTTACATACAACTCCACGTTCAAGGAACTACGCACCTGCACCCCTCGGTCCCTTTGTGGGCAACACTCCCCAGGGCCCTACCATTAAGTATATAAGTCCTGCCCTGATTTGCTTTCCCAAAATGCAACACCCCACATTTATCTAAATTAAAATCCATCTGCCACTCCCTAGCCCATTGGCCCATCTGATCAAGGTCCCGTTTTACTCTTTTGGTGTCATCTGCAAACTTACTAACCATACCTCCTGTATTTATATCCAAATCATTTATAAAAATGACAAAAAGCAGTGGACCCAGCACTGATTCTTATGGCACACCACAGGCCTCCAGTACAAAAAGCAACTTTCCTCCACCACCTTCAAGCCTGGTTCCCCTAGATTCCATGTGATCTAAACTTGCTAATTAGTTTACCATGTGGAACCTTGTCAAACACCTTGCTGAAGTCCATATAGGCAACGACTATTGCTCTGCGTTCATCAATCTTCCTTGTCACTTCTTCAGGAAACTCAATCAAGTTAATTAGATATGATTTCCCACACACAAAGCCGTGTTGACTCTCCCCAATTAGTCCTTGCCTTCCCAAATGCATGTAAATCCTATCCTTCAGAATCCCGTTCAACAACTGACCCGTCACTGATGTCAGGCCCAATGGTCTATAGGTCCCTGAATTTTCCTTACCACCTTTCTTAAATAATGGCACCACATTAGCCAACCTCCAGTCTTCTAGCATCTCACCTGTGGCTATTGATACAAATATCTCAGCAAAGGGCCCAGCAATCTCTTCCTCAGCTTCTCAAACTTGGGGAAATCAACAGTGATATCTTGAAAACCACCCATATTCAGAGGTGGTGTTTCTGCACATCTCAAAGTGGTTAAAGGTGTATAACTTCCCAGGACTGGGTCAGATCTATCCCAGAACTTTGCAGGAAGTCTCCTTCTGAGTTGCAGAATTCTGCGATGCTGATTTAAATACTGTCCTGTCTCAGATTTCCATTGTTTGATGTAAATGACTGATTAACTTGATGTGCATGAGCATTTCTTTCTAAACAATACTTACTGACTTTCCAGATTATTGTTTGTAGCTGCTAATTCACAGATTCACAGCAGTGCTACAGCACTGAAAGAGGCCTACACCAGCTCATTAAATGAGTATCATTCACTACTGCGAACCTTCTATTTCCCCTTACCAATGCACATTACTTAGATAAAAATAATCATCCAATGCCCTCTTGAATTCACCAAATGAACCTGTTTCCGCCACACTTCCAGGCAGTATGTTCCACACCCTAACTACTCGCTGAATTAAAAAGTTTTCCTCACTTCACGCTTGCTTTTTTTTTTGCAGATCACTTTAAATCCACGCCCTCGTGTTTCTTTCAAAAGTGGGACCAGCTTCTCATTATCTAGTCTATCCAGTCTGCACAAATTCCTCCTGATTTTTCTCTATTCTTCTGTTTCTCTTCTACTTTGTTTATTTTTCTATACTGCTATCATTCCTTTGTAGACCTCACACATATCTTTTGTTTTTATCTGTAATAGGTAGCATTTTCAGGGTACAATGGAAATCACAAGCACACATTCTAAATATTTATGATAGCATTCCACTATCATTTCCAGTTTCTTCCTGTTTTTAGTAATGTTATGAATTTTTAATATGTGATTGTAATATTCTAAATAATTGCTACTTGCCAACTAGAATAAGCGGAGCATATTAAGATTAGGAAACATTTTTTACATCACCCCCACAGTTCCCAATGCATAAGTAAAGGAAATGGGGGCAAGATTTGTCGCTGGAACAGCCCACCTTCTAACCTGTGTGCAGTGCGTTCGCATGTAATTGGAATTTAACAGTTCTGCTTTTGGCAATGTTGTAAGCCCTCACATTCAGAGAAGAATCTCATTAATGCCTAATTCTGAGGTTATGTAGCATAAATAGGGACTCCCTTGATTTTCTCATACAATTGTATGTTTGTTGCTCTTGTTAAACTCACCAGGGAAAACTGGCACCAATCAGGGGATTGTCCAGATGGAGGCTAAGATGTTAATTTTGTTAAAAAAAATTATGTTTCTTTGAGAGCTTATCTAACCCCCAAAAAGATAACCTTGGGACTTCACTGGCTTGGGTTTTCTTCTCTACTCCGTGCCATCATTTCTGTAATTCCCCCGAGTAATTGTAATACTATATCTGTTCCCGTGAATCCTCAGTGAAGCCATCTGGTTACCCTCACTTGGACTCCTGCCCATCGACCAGAGAAAGATTATGTTTGAGAATGGGCAGAAGATTCAACATCGCTCCAGACAAGGTTTCTGGGTTTAAACTGATTCCAGCTTCATTTCAGTGCAGCTCTATTCTTGCCTCTGAGTTGAAATTAAGCTTTTAAGAACATAGAACAGTACAGCACAGTACACACTCTTCGGCCCACGACATTGTGCCGATCTATCATCCTACTAAGATCAATCTACCCTGCATACCTTACATTATACTATCATCAATGTGCCTATCCAAGAGTGGTTTAAATGTCTCTAATGTATCTGATGTATCTAATGTTTCTTTTTGTGAGATATTTGCTTCACCAATCTTAGAAGTTCTAAATGCTGCTACTTCTGTTCTACAATTATGTTATTTGTAATTCATAATACAGGTCAGGAATCCTTTATCTGAAAACCTTGGGATCAACTGCGTTTTTAGATAAAGGATATTTTCAGTTTTTGAAAGCACCTTATCCTCTAAGATCTTTATTAATTATTTCACAACCAAAAGAAAAATATTCATGTAACTCTTGAATTCATTGTACCCTAGTCTGTTGGGGAATAGATTCATGTTATCTTTATGAAAAGTCAGATAATCTCTTATAAACCTTCCTTTTTTCCATTATCTCTGCACTTATTATTCATTTCCATTTGTTGTCACACTTCCCACTTACATCTGTTCGGCCCCTGTTAAAAAAAAACCTTGCTTGGCCTGAACAGCCAGTGTTGACACACTGGGTTTGGGCATTTTGGCAAAAAAAATCTTCATTTTAGATCTGTTCAGGCAAAGTGTTTGGTTTCCAAAGGGCCCAAACTCAGCGTGCCTGCAAGCCCATTCTGGTTGGCTTTTGAAAAGACCTTTGATTTTTAGATCATTTCAGTTTTCAGGCATGCAGATAAAGGATACCTGACCTGTAGTTATTTCAGTAGCACCGTATAAAATGTTTGAAAAGCAAGCCAACATTTTGAATCCTTGCATTATTTTTCAATGCACTTTAGCATTGCAGAGGTCAAATGACTGATTTTAACTCAGATCAGCAGTCCTGCAGATAGGGGCTGAGGCAAATCGAAAATAGTTCAGTGGCGTAAAGCTTGGGGATTTGAAAGACAAATCTTCCAGTTACTCAAGTGATGAGTTAAAGGCCTTTATATAGAGTAAAATGTGCTCGCATTAGGGGATGAACAGACAAGCATTACAGTGGAAGATTTACTGGCTGCCAGATGCAATGTTCAGTATTATACTATTCTCCGAACAAAAGATCTGACCCTTACACAAGGCACATCCATTGTTTTTCAATCAAGATTTTTTTTTAATAGATTAAAGGAATTAAAGGTAGCTTTACCTACTTGTGATTTTCTAAGAGGGATTTGGAGTGATATATCATGAATGTGCTACAGGAATTGCAAAGCACTTCCTCGTCGGCAGACTCTAAATGCAATCAGTACTGACTTGGCACTGTCTCACTGGCATAAATCATTAATTGCAGGAAGTAAGAAGCACTTACCCGCCCAAGTTCTTTGTCCTCCAGAGCCAATACGCCAGTGCTCTCTGTGAAGAGTTTCACCTTTACTGCAGGAAGTGGGTGTGTGCTGGTGAAGTCACCTTGGGTACCCCAGCTGCAGAAAAGAAACCATTTAGAAATGGTCAATTTAGTCTCTTTTAAATTCCAAAATTTCCGATTAAACATCTAATCAGCCACTGACATCATGAAATTTAAATCTATCCGGTAAACACAGAACTTGGCTTTGAAATAATTTAAAATGCTAATTCAACTGCTAACAAATTTCATTTTCATTAGAAAAGACACCCTGACACAAACTGCTTATCGAAAGATGTTTAGATTGTTCAGAACTGAAAGCTAGGGTTTAGTGCACAGTTGGAGAATGAAATGGAGTTAAATCAGGAAAGGTCATGTGGAATAAAGTGAAAAGAAAAAAGCTCTAAGCACAGCAGGTAACTGTCACAACATTTAACCGTGAAACAAGACTGTGCAGAGTCACAGCAAAGTACACAGCTCCCTTAAAACATGCTGGCTTCATTCCGACAGAACTAATTACTGCAATGTAATCCCTACGTTTGCTGGGTAAGATACATGAACAAGCTTGCAAAGGAATAATAGTGAGGGCATGGAGGTGGAGGGGGTAGTGGGGAGATAAGACAGTGTCAATCTAAGTAAATGTAACAGGAACCGTGTATTCTGTACATAATATTGCCAAGAAATGTGCAACCACACTTTGTGACTTATTTGCTTTCGTGGTCAGTTTTTTCCCACTCTTCTCTTTGCAAATTTCAGTTGCACTGTAATTATTTGTGAAATGCATGTTCACAAAATAACAGATGTGAATCCACCAGATATAAATATCCTATTAAAACATACTCTACTCGAGCAGCTGGGAAGTACATGAGTCCAAAGCTGTTCCACTTCAGGTTCCTAATGTGAGAGTTCAAAACTGTAAAAGAAACTTATTGTACAATTGCAACGACACGAGTGTAAGGGAGTATTTTCAATCAACTGGTTAACTTTTAGGAAGGAAAAATAGGAAGCTCACTGAAGACTTGGAAGGTAAAGGTTTAGGTGGGGTAGAGGAACACAGTGTTCTCACAGTACAAATAAATCTATGACTGAAAGTTAATGTCACAGATTAACAAAGAAATAAAACCGAACCGAGTATTACATTTATTTTGAGAGAAATAGAATTGAAAATTAAGCCTTTTACGTTAAAGCTGTATTGAACTTTCATTAGGCTATAGTAAGAGGCTATATACAGTTCTGGTCACCATACTATAAAATGGATTTAGATCTTCTGGAGAGGGTGGAGAGAAGATCCCAACAGAAATGCAGGTGTACACATATCAGGAAAGGATTGAAATGCTGGTCCTGCTGCCTCACAGACTTGGATGTTTATAGCACTATTAAAGGAGGCCATTTGGCCTATTGTATCTGTGCCAATCAATGAAGATCCGACGGCACTAATCCTATTTCCCAAGTCTTGGCCATAACCCTGGAGGCTATCGCAATGCAACTGAACATCTAAATGCTTCTTAAATGCTTCAAGTGTTTCTGACTCAACCATGCTTTTGGGCACAAAATTCACCACCTGGGTGAAAACACTTCTCCTCAACTGTCCCCTTAGCCCTCTACCTTTTACTTTATGTCTACACCCTCTGGTTATTGACCCCTCTACTAATGGAAAAAGTGCCTTTCTATTCACTCTATTAATGTCCCCAAGAATCCTGTACACCTCTATCAGGTCCCCTCTCGACCTTCGTTGCACATAAGGAAAACAACCCCAGCCTATCCAATTGTGCCTCATCGGTCAGACCTTTCAAACCTGGCTGCATCCTGGTGAATCATTTCGGTACCATCTCTGGTGAAATCACATCCTTCCTGTAGTGTGGTGCACAATTGTCCTATAGTGAACTGCACACAGTACTCCAGCTGTGGCCTAACCAATGTTTTATACAGTTCCAGCATCATCTCCCTGCTCTTGTATTCTATGCCTCAGCTAATAAAGGCAAATATCCCATATGCCTTCTTAACGACCTTATCTACCTGCTCTACTCCCTTCAGAGACCTGTAGATATGCAAAACCAGGTCCCTGTGATCTTCAGTGCTTTTCAGTGTCCTACCAATCATTGTGTAATCCTGTGCCTTGTTAGCCCTCCTGAAGTGCACTACCTCACACTTTTCTGAGTTGAATTTTATAAGCCACTTCTCTGCCTACCTGATCAGCATGTTCCCTCTAATTTTTATTGTGCCTATGTGGACTTAGAACATAGAACATAGAACAGTACAGCACAAAACAGCCCCTTCGGCCCACGATGTTGTGCTGAAATTTTATCCTAATCCTAAGGTCTATCTAACCTCCACCTCTACCTTATACTATCATCCATATGCTTATCTAATAGCTGCTTAAATGCCTCTAATGAGGCTGACTCCACTACCTGCTCCGGCAATGCATTCCAAGTACCGACCACTCTCTGAGTAAAGAACCTACCTCTGATGTCTCCCCTATATCTATCTCCATTCACTTTAAAACTATGCCCCCTTGTAATAGCTACATCCACCCTAGGAAAAAGTCTCTGGCTGTCTACTCTATCTATACCTCTGATCATTTTGTACACCTCTATCAAGTCCCCTCTCATCCTTCGTCATTCTAAAGAGAAAAGCCCTAGCTCTCTCAACCTTTCTTCGCAAGATCTTCCCTCCATTCCAGGAGACATCCTGGTAAATCTCCTCTGCACACTTTCCAATGCTTCCACATCTTTCCTGTAATGAGGTGACCAGAACTGGACACAATACTCCAGATGTGGATGAACCAGGCTCTTGTATAGCTGGAGCATAACTTCATGGCTCTTGAACTTAATCCCTCTATTAATGAAAGCTAACACACCATACGCCTTCTTAACAACTGTATCCACCTGGGAGGCAGCTTTCAGGGAACTGTGAACATGAACCCCAAGATCCCTCTGCTCCTCCACACTGCCAAGAATTTTTCCGTTAACCCTGTATTCTGCTTTCAAGTTTGTCCTTCCAAAATGAATCACCTCACACTTTTCAGGGTTAAACTCCATCTGCCACTTCTCAGCCCAGCTCTGCATCCTATCAATGTCCCTTTGTAACCTAGAACAGCCCTCCGCACTGTCCACAACATGACCCACCTTTGTATCGTCCGCGAACTTGCTAATCCACCCCTCCACTCCTTCATCCAAATCATTTACAAAAATCACAAATAGGAGAGGATCCAGGACAGATCCTTGTGGTACACCACTCATAATTGAGCACCATGTGAATATTTTCCGTCCACTACCACCCTTTGTCTTCAGCCAATTCTAAATCCAATCTGCCACATTTCCCCCAATCCCATGCCTCCTTACCTTCTGCATGACCCTACCATGGGGAACCTTATCAAACACCTTATTTAAATCCATATATACCACATGCACTGCTCTATCTTCATCCACGTGTTTGGTTACCTCTTCAAAGAATTCAATAAGGTTTGTGAGGCATGATCTACCCCTCACAAATCCGTGCTGACTGACACGAATCAAACTGTGTCTTTTCAAGTGATCATAAATCCTATCTCTCAGAGCCCTTTCCAATAATTTGCCCACCACTGACGTAAGACTAACTGGCCTGTAATTTCCGGGGTTATCCCTATTCCCTTTTTTGAACAAGGGAATGACGTTTGCTTCTCTCCAATCTTCCGGCACTATACCCATGGACAGTGAGGACGAAAAGATCATTGCCAACGGCCCTGCGATCTCTTCCCTCGCTTCCCATAGAATCCTTGGATAAATCCCATTAGGCCCGGGGGGCTTATCTATCTTCAACTTCCTCAAAATTCCTAGCACATCTTCCTTACCAACATCGACCTCCTCTAGCCTACCAGCCTGTTTCACACCGTCCTCCTCTACAACTAGGTCCCTCTCAGTTGTGAATACCGAAGAAAAGTATTCTTTAAAGGACCTCTCCTATCTCTTTAGGCTCCGCGCACAAATTCCCTTTACAATCCTTGATCGGCCCTACCCTTTCTCTGGTTATTCTGAGTGGTTCAGGACATCCATTTAGTAGAGGTCATGTGGCAATCTTTTCACAGTTTCATTATTTTAATATAAGTGTTAAAATGTACAGACATATTATTTTACAGTCATAGGTATTCTCCTCAAGCAGTATTTTCTGATGGTCTAACAGATAGGTTGTATTGTGATAATTATTTCTGTTGATTGGGTTCAATAGAAAATTGAGAACTATCAAAGAATTTCACTGTGAATACTCATCTGTTGCTTCTTCAAACCTCACTGCCATTTCTTCCAAGACCCATATGGCTCCACTGCCAGTTTTTCTGCCTCCTGGACCTTTCCACAACCACTGCTCCCTTTAACCTCCCAGTTGTTGCTCCTGAGTCCTACACGGTTCCACCGCCATTCTATCTGGTTCTGGGACCTCTCCACAATTGCTGCTCTCTTTAACCCCACTGCCTTCACTCCCAAGTCCCACACAAAGTCTGCTACTGGTTTGATTTCTTCTGTCCAACTGCTCTTGCTCTGCTTGATGGTGCAGACTGCATGTCTTCGTGCCCTTGTTTCCCTCTCCTCCTCTTGAAACAAATCTAAGGGGTGACCTGAGAGTGGCCTTTAAAACTCTAAAAGATTTTGATAAAGTGGAGACACAGACAATGTTTCCACTGCTGAGGAAGAGCATAACTGGAGGCTATCATTACAAGGCAGTCGCCAAGAAATCCAAAAGGGAATTCAGAAGAACCTAAAAAGAGTGGTGAGAACATGGAACTTCATTGCACAGGGAACTGCTAATGCAAACAGTTCAGATGCATTTCAGAGGATGCTGGGCAAGCATTTTAGAGAAAAGGGAAAGATAATTCTAATGGAAAATTGAGATGAGTAAAAATGTGAGGAGTCTCAAGTGGAACAGCACAGACTGGGGTGAAAGAAATGGTGTGTTTCTAATGAAGTACATTCTATGTAAGGAATCACACTTCGGACATTGATTACAAAAGGTGACTTTATTTGTATCAGTCTGTATCCAAAAAGATAAACCAGGATCATCATTAAAGAAGGTGAGATAATTCTGACAAAAAATATTGAAAACCAAAGG